TTGTCAAAAGTTTTGATTTTCTAAAACCATTTAATATTATGGTTTCTGCTACCCAACGACCACTATGGGTTTGTGATTCACATCAAAAATTAATTTTGGTGAACTAGTTAACAAAAACATCTTTGATGGAATAAAAAAAAAATGGTCATATAATAGCCAATACTTGGCCAAACTAATAATGGCCAATGGCCAATTGGTTATACTTTGCATGAAGGCCAATTTAATGGCTAATTGTTTAGTGTCAACACATGTCAGTTTAATAGTCAATAGCCAATTGGTTATAATTTGTATCGACAGAGGGCTAATTGATTATTTTAACTACATTTTATTTTTCTGTCGATTGTGGCCTATTAATTATGGCTAAGTTCAATTATGGTCTGTCGATTGAAATCATAAACTATTTTCAAAGAATAACCTTGACCACATTTGTTTTTATTTCTGTCGACAGACATACTATCATGGTTTGAAAAACAATAATGGTTGGAAAATGCTATATGTAGTGAATTCTCTTTAGCCAAATATGGTTAAGAGTTGTTTTGTTTTAAAAATAAGGGATGTGGCTCTTTGTTATGTCACTTGGCAGAGCCAAAGATGAAGTGTTCACAAATCGATAGTGATATATTACTATGGTTATAATATAACTTTTCAAGAAGTCAAATTATTTGTACCATAAAATATATTCTATCGATTGTGGTAAAACATCTTATAAATCATTTAATTGGATTTCATTCTTCAATCCATTTAAATGAGGGGACATTGTTTGCACCACATTTTATTTTTCTGTCGATTATGGCTTGATTGATTATGGCCAAGTGCGATTATGATCTGTCGATTTAGACCATAGACTATTTTTAAAAATAACCTTGGCCACATTTGTTTTTATTATTATTATCTCTGTCAATAGACATGCTAACGTAGCGTGATAGATATGTTAAGAACGTAGCATGATGACATGTTAAATGGAGAGCCATAAATTTAGCAATTGCAGCAATTTGAAAGTTAATTGTTGAGATCAAGGAGCCAAGATCAAATCAAGCACAGAATCAGTAAAATTGATTCCTATTCTATGAAAATAGGATATGGTTGAGTGGAGCAAAGATTAAAGAAAATCATGGATTGATGGCTACAACATGAGGTGGCTACGCAAGTATAAAATGAGGACTTGAAGAATCAATCAAGGGACATCTCTCAATCATCAAACACTCGCAAAGAGTTTATCTAAGAGTAGTTTAACTTAGTATTTTAGGAGTGGATTAAAACTAGTAGATTTTTCCAACCCCCACTTCTCTTCTTTTCTTCTGTCGATTGCTGTATTTCTTCAATATTTTGTTCTTATTTAAGTTTTGTAACTATCAATTTTTTGTTCTTGTTTAAGTTTTTGTAACTAGTGACAATTAACAATTCATTCAAATTAATACATATTATGTTTTGTTCCATTTTCTCCTTCATTCAATCACCTCTAAGGAAGTCCTTAATTTGTTTAAGGCAAAGAATTCAACCACAAAACCTGATTTTTTATTTGTGTTTATTGAAATCTGTTTAGACCTGTCGATCAATCACTATCGATTGGGCTTGAACTGAATTTTTACCAACACCCTCTCATTTCTTTGAACCCTCACTCAACTAAACAAGTCCTTTCCATTTTCTCTTTAAACCCCCACCTTAATTCCAACTAGGGCTATAAATGAACGAAGTTGTTCATGAACAAACTCAGCTTGGCGCGTTAAGGGTGGGGCTCGACTCGGCTCGGCTTGTTTCGTTTAGTAAACAAGTCGAGCTCGAGTTCGAATATTAGGCTCATTTAGTAAACGAGCAGAGCTTGAGCTCGAATAAGTTTGGCTCATTTGTCTTTATTTAAATTATATAATGAATATATTATTTATAGGATACTCAAGTGAAAAATCCAATTCTATATTTCTTATGTCCAAACGCCCACATGCTACTTTATTATGTCCATAAGAATAAGCCTTTGCGAAATGACAAAAATACCCACGCATATATATATACATGGTTCCCAAATCAAAACCCTTCTCACTCATTCTTCCTCTATGTGACTCTCTCTCTCTCTCTCTCTAGATTCACAGTAAGCTTCGATGTAGTTTCTCTGCCCTGATCAAGTCTTAATCAACGGCTGTGAGCGACGGACCACCAGTTGCGTATGACGAACCACCGGTTATGCGTTAACTTCCATAAAAATGCCGACTAAAGATAGAGAGCGATGGTGTTGTAGAAAAAGAAAGAGAAGAAGATTTGTCTCACCTTCAAAACAGTTCTTCGTCCTTCATCTCATTAGCGGCGGCGGTCAGGGATTCGGTCGAGGCAGAGCTATCTTATCTCTCTCTCTCTCTAAAACCCGAGGTCCAATTTCCGTTTACTCAGCGCCGACTCTCATCTCAACCACCAAACACAACTGTACAAAACCAATCTCTAACTCAGCCCATTCATGTAAGACAAATTACGCGACGATCGAGGCCGACTCGTTATGTTCATAAATATATATATGAATCTGTGTATATATATATTTTTTTTTGAATAAATGTGTGTATATATATCTATTTATTTTTCTATATATGAATCTAAAGTATTTGGACTGAAATGGAAGATGATATTGGAATGGTTGAAAAAGATAACCTCCAATGAAGATTTCGCTAATCTCATTGAGGAATACGATCGAACTTCATCACTGCGTCCTAATTTTCCTCTTTTTATCTCTCTCTCTCTCTCTCTCTCTCTCTCTCTCTCTCTCTCTCTATATATATATATATATATATATGAATTTGGTTCTTGGTTTGAAATCAATTTCAATAGATAAAATTTATACATATAAAATAGGCTCTGTGAAATTAAATAGGCTTGAACAGATAGTGAAAAAATTGTAACAAATAAAAATTTGAACAGATAAATTAAAAAAATTTGAATAGATAAAAAAAATGAACAAATAAAAAATAATTTGAACAGATAGATGTAAATTTGAACAGATAAAAAATAATTTGAATAGATAGTTGAAAAAATTAAAAAATTAAACAATGAGGAAAAAACAAAACAAATAAAAAAATTCAACAAATAAAAAAAATTCAACAGATATGAAAAAAAATTTCAATAGATATCTATTGAAATTTTTTTGAACAGAAGTCAACGAAAGTCAACAGATAAAGAAAAGTCAACATAGATAAAATTAGAAACAAAATGTCTTTCAAAACTATTAAAAAGATGTCTCACCAAACTATTTAACAAATGGTGGACCTTTCACTAACAAAAAATATGTATTAGACCTATTGCCTTAAACACTCTAAATTGGATTTATCACAAATTTTCTCTTATTCATATATTAAATAATATAGAAATATATATAAATAATAGTATAAATACATTTTTTATATATTAAATAATACAAATAATATTTTTATTTAAATAATATAAATAATATTAAAAAAAAAATCTTATTGAACCAAGCCGAACTGAGCTCAAGTTTCATTAATATTAATGAGCCAAGCCAAGCCCAAGCCTGAGCCCAGTTACTTATTGAGCTCAATAAGCAAACAAGCCGAGTTCGAACTCAACAAAACTCGACTCGTTTGCAGCCTTAATTCCAACTATACCCTCTTCTTTTGGACCCCAACTTTTCTTCTATTAAACTTTTCTGTCACCTCGGCCCTCACTAGGGGTGGGCGTGGGTCGGTTGCGGCCACAGAACCTCCAATCCGCCATCCGTTCGCCAGATTGGCGGATTAGAGAAAATCAATCCGCATCCGTCCGCCAATCCGGTAGATGTGGATTGAGCGGATTAGCAGTTTGGCGGATGGATGCGAATTGGTTTAGCGGTTTAAAATTCTATAAATTTTCAACATAATTCAACTTGTGCACTTCCTCAAAAAAAAAAAAAAAAAAAAAAAAAAAAAAAGTATTACACTCAATGACTTAAAAAAATATTACAATTACTGCATGCCTCATCCAAAGCAAGAAAGTTTGAAACTTTAGAATATTACAATCACTGCATGTCTCATCCACATAATACAATCACAGTATGCCTCATCCACATGAAGTATTACAATATGTGATTCTTAAAATATAAAAATAATTCAAACCACCAAAATCATGAACAAAACAATAGTAGATATTGTATGTCTCTGTATTGTTATATCTATATTTGTTTTTGAAAACAAAAACCAACCAGCATATATAATATTTTCTATTTATTATTTTTAGAGATAGATTTAAAAACCAAAAGATATTATATAAACAATACGTTTATTTTTTTCAATTCAAAAAAGATATTCAAGTTGAAAAAAAAAATCTCAACAGAATATTTAAACTCTTTTTTAATTGAAAACACAAACAAAATATATTTAAACAAACTGAAAACACACAGTCTTATAAATTACTAAGGGTGCTCGCGGTTTGACGGTTCGGTTGCGGCCAAAGGAATCTCAAATCCGCCATCCGTCCGCCAGATTAACGGATTGGAGAAAATCAATTCGCAACCGTCTGCTCGTCACCACGCATCCGTCCAAAATGCAGCGGATCGGTTTAATTCGGTCGATTTTTGACGGATCAGTATATCCGCTGCTCACCCCTAATCCTCACCACTGGCAGTCCCTAACCTCTCCAACGACTTTACCCGACAACCCTCCCCCTCTCTAGGCTTTTCCATCTCCGCGCCCCTGCAACGACCCCTTTAAACCCTACCTTTAAACACTACATTACAAATATATACGTACACATCCATGTCCGTAATCATATATTACAATCAAAAGAGTGAAATTTTAAGTTTTGATCACAACTTGAGTCATTCAATACATGATGCAATTGATGTTTGATTGACTGTTTTCCAGAATTTTTTCACATAGTTTTAATTTTTCAAAATTTATTTCCACAAAAAATGGAAACTACGCGAAACAATAGGTGTTTTTAAATTATTTGTTTCCAAAACACAATGAAAACAAAAACAAAATACAGATACCGATAGCCTAAGGGCACTGTGCAACTGTGAACACTCGAACTCAAAATAAATCAGTATCAAAAATAAAATCTCATCAAGTTGTAAAAATAAATCAGTTACGGAAACCAGAAAATGACAGCTTCTACTCCCATATTAGAAAAGCTACAAGAGTAAACATGAAGAGCACTAGATAGTATTTAAATTCAACCAAAGCAAAAAACAAAAATGTGATGCTACTCCTTGTTCACAAAACAGCAAATGAAAACTCAGCTTAGCAAAACTTGGAATTTCAGATATCCAAGGATGTGGAGGAAAATCCAATTTAAGCTCCAATTGTTTGAGATTTGTTGAGGATGACTCCCTCATATTTGACCTGAAACCACTTCATTGAGTCCTCCTTCGTAACTCTATGTTGGATTCCAACACGTGACTTGCATCTGCGGCGACGACCCACACGGTACCCTGGGCGTTCTAGAACAACATAGAAGTCCATCCCGTAAATACCAGTTGAAGGGTCATACCTATTATGAGCATAAAAGAGATATGAAAGGTCAGGTCCAGATGCAATTTCATGGAAAATTAAAATGAATTATGCCTTCCAAGCTAGGGAAATCAAATCCCTAGCAAATGGCAAAACATTAGCCCCACATTAATATAGCAGAAAACAGAAAAGTGGAATATCCAAAACTAAAACCTAATGTAGCTGATCGTAATAGAAAAGGAATAACTATCAGTAGCTCAACAAGTATTAATAAAACCTTAAAACCTATCTTAAGTACCCCGAGTTCAAAATAACATCTTCGCAGCCCTTGCGTCATCACTGAGTTGCTTTTCTCCAAAACTCCAAGCCCAACACACATTCACTAATCCACCCATGGGTTGCAAAAATATCCAACCAAACAAAAATGCTGACTTCAAATTACAAACACATCTAACGCATGGTTTATGATCATGTTATGAGCAGCACACTTAACTTTCCTAACGAATGTATCAAAACAAATCTAGACCAAACACAACAGATCAACATATAATTAATTGCAAAACCCCCAAAATACTTTTATATATTATCTCTAAAACCGTGAGACCATCTGTAGTATGTGTTTCTAATCCATGATGAAATTACTCAGAGTTTCCCAAACAGTCTTGCTCATTACCCTCCTCTGCTAAAAAATTATAAGCACAAAAAATATAGACCAAGCACACTTGCCCAACAGATAAATTAATTGTAAACACCCAAATAGTCTCATACATTGTCACTCTGAGATCATGAGACCGTCTATAGTATGAGCTATCTAATCCATGACAAAATTACTAAAAACAGATTAGTTTTTAAAAACAAACAAATCTCTAACACTATGTTTGGGAAGAGAAAAGAAAAGAAATGATTACTTAAGTTATAAGAAAAAATAAAATAAAATAAATGAATGTGATTTCTCTCTTTTTGTTTGAATAAGGAATAAATAAAAGAAAAGAAATGATTGTGATTTCTCTCATTCTTGTTTGGTTAGATTTCATTAAGAGAAAAGAAAAGAAATTATTTTATGTTATATTACTTAACGCATGGTTTATGCTCATGTTATGAGCAGCACACTTAACTTTCCTAACGAATGTATCAAAACAAATCTAGACCAAACACAACAAATCAACATATAATTAATTGCAAAACCCCCAAAATACTTTTATATATTATCTCTGAAACCGTGAGACCATCTGTAGTATGTGTTCTAATCCATGATGAAATTACTCAGAGTTTCCCAAACAGTCTTGCTCATTACCCTCTGCTAAAAAATTATAAGCACAAAAAATATAGACCAAGCACACTTGCCCAACAGATAAATTAATTGTAAACACCCAAATAGTCTCATACATTGTCACTCTGAGATCATGAGACCGTCTATATCTAATCCATGACAAAATTACTAAAAACAGATCATTTTTTAAAAACAAACAAATTTCTAAAATCTTAAACCAAACCATTTACATAATTCATGCGAGGGGGTTCAATCACCTAATAAAACAATATTGACTATTGCCTCACTCCCACAATGAAGAAAAGGGTAACAAATCGTTCCCAAATAATACTTGGGCCAAATTAGATATATAGATCATGTACCAAAGTCAATGATTCATCACAAACAAAAGTTTCTAATCCATAGCAAACTGAGAAAACCCACTTAATAATAAAATGAACAAGATGTGAAAAACTAAACAATTTACTATACAATATAAATGTAAAAACACATGGTAATTTAATGCGTCAATGTAGACTCACTTGATACCAAGATCAATGTGTTCCTGAATACCAAACCCAAAGCAGCCAGTATCACTGAAGTTCCGGCGCAACAACTCGTATTCCTTCACCTTCAACCCACTCTCCAGAAGCTGCATCGCTTTCTCGCCCCTCACCGTGACATAGCAAGCAATCTTCTCATTACGCCTGATCCCAAATGACCGAACAGTGTACCTCGCTATTATCACCAACACAACACAACACAACACAAATCAAATCAACAATCACACAAAGAAACAAACACATCAAATTCAAGAGAAAAAAATAAATAAATAAAATTTGATTGTGGTACCCTACCCTTGGAGAAGACAGGTGTTTGGCCACTCAGTTGTTCCAAAACCTGGGGTTAGAAATGAAAAGAAATTAAAATAAAATGAGTGACTGAGAGATGGTGTGAGAGAGAAAATTCTAGAGAGAGAGAAAGGAGGGGGGACCTTGGCGGCGCGGGTGAGGCGATCGCCGCTTTCGCCGACGGAGATGTTGAGGACGAGTTTCTGGACTTTGATCTCTCTCATTGGGTTCGAGAGCTTCTTCTCCGAAGCCTGTATTCATTCATAGTTTTCCATTATTCACACACAAACACGGTCAGTACAACATACATCTATATATATTCATAACACACAGAGAGAGAGAGAGAGAGAGAGAGAGAGACCATTGCGAATGCGGAGGAGGAGCAGAGAGGTGAAGGAAGCGGCAACAGGGGGGATTTAAGGGTGGATGGACATGAAGGAAGAAGCTCCTAGGGTTTTGTTTAAAATGACGATAATGCCCTGTCAATGCTCTAATCTAACCCCGTATTGAATTGGTAGGGTAGGGTAAAATGGGTAATTCATAAATGAAAAACAAAAAAGATATAAATAATGTTAAGGATCATAAAATTTTAAAAAAAAAATTATAAAAATAGTCATAAAAAAAATTCTCCTCCTTCATATTACACATATAATAAAACACCACATTTTAATTAAAAGATGAGAAATCATCATGATACATTTCATGACTCTTAATATTATTCAAATATATTCTATGTTGCCATGAATTTTTTTTTATGATCCTTAATATTATTTTTTCATAATCTTTAATATTATTCAAAAATATTTTCATAATCCCTAATTTTATTTAAAGATGTTTTATGATCCCTAATATTATTAATTCTTTTCATGGTCCTTAAATTTTTTTATAATCCCTAATATTATTCAAAGATATTTTCATGATCCCTAATCCCTAAATTTTTTTATAATTCCTAATATTATTCAAAGATATTTTCATGATTCCTAACATCATTAATTTTTTTTATGATCCCTAATATTATTTTTTCACAATCCCTAATATTATTCAAAGATTTCATGATCCCTAATATTATTTTTTTCATAATCTAATATTATTTAAAGATATTTTTATGATCCCTAATATTATTAATTTTTTTGATGACCCCTAATATTATTTAATATTATTCAAAGAAATCTCTAATATTTTTTAAAGATTTCATGATCCCTAATATTATTTTTTCATAATCTCTAAGAGCATCTCCAACGGTAGTAGGCATTTTACCTATCTGAATATTACTATAAAGTATATATTTTATTTTGCCTATCAACTGTTTTATGTTTTTACTCCAATCATGCTCTTTATTTTAGCTATTTATCCAAATACTATTAATTTTATAAAATGTCACGTCAACAACAAAGATGGAGGGAAATGATTCTAATGATTGAATACATTTTGCCTAGCGTTGAAGGCTAGCTACATGTAGCTAGTGAATATGAGTTGAGGCAAAATGCCTAATCATATGCCTAGCGCATTGGAATTGAAAAAAGTGAATCACACTAGGCATTTTAACTAACAAGTATTATATGCCTAGTACATTGGAGATGCTCTAATATTATTCAATTCATAATCCCTAATATTATTCAAAGATATTTTCATGATCCCTAATATTATTCACTTTGTTTGGCTCTGGTTTTCAGAAAATTCTACATTTTTATTTTTTGTATTTTAATGTTTTCAATGATTTTTTTAATATTTAAGCAGTTTTTTAAAATTTTAGACATACCTAACATACATATACTTAAAAAGTATAATATTTGTGAAAAAATATTTAAAAAATACATTAAATACCAAAAAATACAGAAAAAAATGAAAATTCAGTATATATTTCATATTTTGTGTATTTATTAATTTTTTAAAATATTTTTTCACAATTATTTTACTATTTACATACATCTAAATAATGCATCTAAACAATTAAAAAATTGCTTAAAATTTAAAAAATATTCACTAAAAACACGAAAAACAAAAAATTCAATTTTCAAAAAACTAAATTCAGAAAATTGAAACCAAACACAATAATTAATTTTTTTTCATAATTCCTAATATTATTTTTTCATAATCCATAATATTATTAAAAGAAATCTCTAATATTATTCAAGATATTCTTCGTTGCCATGAAATTTTATTCATAATCTCTAATATTATTCAAAAATATTTTCCGTTATTATTCAAGATATTCTCCATTGCTATAAAAAAAATTTCATGACTCCTAATATTATTCAAAGATATTCTCCGTTGCCATGAAATGTTTTTCATGATCTCTAATATTATTCAAGATATTATGCGTTACCATGGAATTTTTTTCATAATCCCTAATATTATTCAAAGATATTCTCCGTTGCCATTAATTTTTTTTCATGATTCCTAATATTGTTCAAGATATTCTCTGTTGCCATGAAATCCCTAATATTATTCAAGATATTCTTCCTAATATTATTCAAAGAAATCCCTTATATTATTCAAGATATTCTCCGTTACCATGAAATTTTTTTGGAAAATGTCTCGTAACTCAAATTTTGTGGCTCAAAAGTGGCTCAAATGGCCAAAACGACGTCGTTTTGGTCATTTTTATGTTGTTCTGTACTCAAAACGACGTCGTTTTGGCCATTTGAGCCACAAAATTTGAGCTACGTAGCATTGTCGAATTTTTTTCATGATCCCTAATGTTATTCAAAGATATTCTCCGTTGCCATGAAACTTTTTTCATGATTTCTAATAATATTGTTCAATATATTCGCCGTTGCCATGAAATCCCTAATATTATTCAAGATATTCTCCGTTGCCATAATTTTTTTTCATGATCCCTATTATTATTCAAGATATTCTCCATTTTCATGATCCCTAATATTATTCAGGGTCCGTTTGGGAAGATGATTTGTGGCTAAAATAGCCACAAAAGACAAAATATGCTATTTTAGCCACAACAAACAAAACATCACATGAAAATTTTAACAGAATATTTAAATTCTTTTTTAATTGAAAATTCAAAGAAAATATTTAAACAAACTAAAAATACAAAATTTTATAAATTACTAGGTGCTCGCGGTTCGGCGGTTCGGTTGCGGCCAAAGGAATCTCAAATTCGTCATCCGTCCGCCAGATTAGCGAATCGGAGAAAATCAATCCGCAACCGTCCGCTCGTCATCACGCATCCGTCCAAAATGCGGCGGATCAGATCGGTTCGGTCAGTTTTGGCTGATCGGTATATCCGCTGCTCACCCCTAGTAATAACTATTTTTTTAAAAAGAATTTCATAGTCAAAATAGATTTTATTTGATAGATCTTGGCGAGAGAATTCTAAAAATATTAATTTTATTAAAAAATGATATCTAAATTAAAAATTATATTATTTTAAAGTTTAATATTTTGGTAATAGTGATATGTGTTGGACTTTTTGAAGGAAAACTTATCCGCTGCTCACCCCTAGTAATAACTATTTTTTTTAAAAGAATTTCATAGTCAAAATAGATTTTATTTGATAGATCTTGGTGAGAGAATTCTAAAAATATTAATTTTATTAAAAAATGATATCTAAATTAAAAATTATATTATTTTAAAGTTTAATATTTTGGTAATAGTGATATGTGTTGGACTTTTTGAAGGAAAACTTTTTATACTTATCTTAATACATTAAGGCTTCGTTTGGTAAGAGTTTCGAATTATAGTTATATTCATTGATTTGAGTATGTTGTTTGTTTTGAGCTTTTAAATCAAAATTCTACACTCATTTCTCCAAACTCAATTCAAAACATAATCATTACTTTTAAAAACTCATAACCAAACACATAATTCAAAACTCTTTTCAAAACTCAATTCAGATCAATATTTTAATTTTTAAAATATTTTAAATATTTAAATATTTTAATTTTGTTAAGATTTTAAATATTTTAATATTTAAATATGTTACGATTTTTTTAATTTTTTAATTTTTTTAATATTTTTAAATATTTTAATTTCAAAATATTACGATTTAAATTTTTTAAAATTTAAAATATTTTAAAAAATAAATTCAAATTCTATTTTATAAAAATATTTTTAAATATTTTAATTTTATTGTTATGTATTTGGTTACGATTTGAGTGTAAAGTTATGAAAGTAGTATGGAATTTCGTGTTATGTATTTGGTTATGAGTTTTAAAAATAATTTCTTAATTGAGTTTTGTTTTATGTGTTTGGTTACGATTTGAGTGTAGAGTTGTTTTTAAATTTAAAATATTAACATTTTAAATTATTTAATTTTTTTGAATATTTATTTTAATTTTTTACTTATTAAATTTTTTATATTATTTAAATTATTTGAATATTTATGATTTAAATTTTTTTGAAAAAAAATTATTTCCTTTGTAGTATTTTCAATTAAAAAATTGATTAATGTTATTTTCTGTCAATAATAAATTTTTTTAATTGAATTTTAAAAAGAGTTTGGTTATGAGTGTTGATCAGAATTTTCAATAGTGTGAAAGTAGTGTGTTTTGTTATGAGTTATAACAATTTGAATTAAGTTTTGAAAACTCTTTCCAAAACTCATGACCAAACAAATTTTCTTACTTCACATGTCAAATCAAACTTTCAAAACTCAATTTCACACTCAATTCAACACTCTATTCAAAAACAATAACCAAACAAATTTTCTACACTCAAATCATAATTCCACAACTCACAAACTCAAAATACAACTCATACTCTCAAATCATATTTACAAAACTCTATCAAACGCAACCTAAAATTTTATTACGATGAAATTTTGACCAAATCCCCCTTTTTATAAATTAATGTGTTTGAGAAATTACAATAATTAGTATTTTTTTTGTAGGTAAAAAAATTGACATGACATTTGATTTTTTCTTTTATGGATAATAAATACTTTTTTTTAAGTAGATCCCAAACGATGCTTACATAAAGAAAATTTTAATAGTATCATGAATTAATCTCAAGCAGTTATTCATGAAACCATTTTAGGTGCAATAATACATATCAATTACAACATGAGTTTATGTTTGAGTCGAATTGTTACAATAAGCACATGACCAGGGGCGGAGCCAAAGTTCAATCATTAAGGCGCTAAAATAATGGCAGCAAGATAAGTTCTATGGAGATACGAGTTTAGTTAAATCTATTTTATTTATAATAAATTTTGAATCAAATAAAAGTAAATTAATATAAAATTTAATAGCATTATTATATATCGCTTAAATGTTTTATTAAAATTTTTTACTTTCATATAATTTCTCATGTGGCATGATGGGTTCTATCATAATCTTCACATATACATAGACATTTATTGTGTAAATACACAGAAAATAAAATAAAAAGTTAAAATAAATGTGGTGATAAATAGCATATGGCTTGAAATTTAAAGAAGTAATAATAATATAAATCTCAATGATGAATGAATGAAAGAAATATGAATGTAAATCATAACAATATCAAGATGTGTTGCTGAGTGAAAAGAGAAAGATTGAAAAGGTACAGAGGTAAAGAAAAAAGAAAAGAAAGATGCTATGAACCATGAAAATTTATCTTGAATTTTATCCTAAAATTATATGTGTGATGTAGATTTAAAGTCAGCGATATGTGAATCACATTCACAATGAATATAAACCATTGATTTTTTTTTTTTTTCTATAAATTTTTTAAAATATTTTTTTTGAGTTTGTAACATTGCTAAACTAATTAAAATGCAAGAAATGAATTGTATTATACAAAAGGTTTAAAGCCACTCCAAAAGTACATGGAGAACATGCTGTTTAATAAACTCCTTTGAGAGTACAAGATACCTATAAAATACAAAACAAAAAGTAAGATAAAACGGAAAATTGAGATCTTTTGAGCTTCACTTAGAGACAAGGAATGGATGGCAAAAATAAATTTGGAGGGGCCATTCACTGCAGTGCCATATAGAAGATGCTTAGTATATGCAGTGTATTCTCAAAAGTTTGCAGGGCCAGGACCCTCCCGACCCCCCTCTGCCCCTGCACATGACTTCATTAGTTTAGTGAAACGCTTCTCTGGTTCTGTTTGATTAAAAGAAAATTTGATGGAAAGTGAAAGTAAAAGAAAATGAAGTGAAAGAATAGAAATAGAAAATAAAATATATTTTCTTGCAAATATTTGATTAAGATGAAAGTTTTGTAAGAAAAGAAAGAAAAATTTAGAATTTTAGTTATAGAAAACTCAAACATTCAAATTTTCTAGTGTTTTTTTCCCAAAAATTAAAAATTAATTACAATGCTAATGTGACTGTACAAGAAAAAGTTTTCTTCTACTTTTCATCCCTTTCAAGCTAAATAAAGTGAAGATTAGCAGTCTCTCCTCTTTCATAAATTTTTGTTTTGAAGAATCAATCTATGCTTGTGGGCTTGGTTTGGGTTTTTTCTTATTTTATTACTAGAAAAATTGACATTAGTGGGAAAAAAGAAAAAGGGTTAACGTTAGGCATTGATAGTTTCTTACTGGAATCACCTATTGTAAGAGTTTATTTGAACACTTGATCTCTTTCAATAGTTTGCTGCAAAACCTTAGATTGCAAGGAGAACGAAAGTATATCATACTGTGATCTTTCAAGCATAACAAAAACACTAATTTTTAGTAATTTTCAGAAAACAGTTTCAGAAAACGAAAACAAAGAAAGCAGTGATATTTCTGGATCAACTGGTATCTAAACCACAAAGGAGCATGTAACACAATCTCAATGATATTCATAGTTTCTAAATGGAATCCACACATTCCTAGAGTCATGCCATGTATGCCAGACAAAACTTGTCCTTCAACACAAGCACTCAGCACCCAAAAGCAAGACGAAAACAAAAACTCTTGCATACATAGAATTTCCACAATGAAGCTCAGAGGTAACAAAATGGAACACAAAATGCAAATTCTATTTTCACTAAAACTTGATTTGAATATTTTATCTGTAGTTTGTGTACAATGAAGACTTTTGAATAACAGAAGTAGGTGAAGCTGAAAGTCACTCGAGAATAGAGATGGTAAAGGGAAGCGAAGAAGCTCACTAAAATTTTGGCCTAACCATCATTGCTGGCCTGCAGTATTAAAATATCAATGCAAATTCAACGATGGAAACTGTAAACAGAACTGCCACACTATTACACCAATCCGGTGCTGGTTGTCAAGTTGACATCTTCGCTATTTGAACCTTCATATCTTCATGGCTAAATAATATTAAGAAGCCGCAATGATGCATGGTAAGAACCCTTTTAATTTTATTTATTCACTTCAATTAAAACATATTTACACGGAAAAACCACGGCAGCACGAAGGCTATAACCAGGCATGCCATCAAGAAGTTGCAAAATGGCTGTCCCCGCCAACATCCTCCGCGCCTGTTGGAAGTGTTACTAACATTACCAGCAGTTCTTGTTTCATTCCACTCTTCCATGAATCTGGTATCCCCAACACCTGTAATGTTTTTGGCGGTCTCACCACAAATTTCACACTGTCTGCACACATGGAAAGAAAATAAATAAACAAATGACCAATATATTTACTTGAATATATTTGTTAGGGTTCAAAGAAGTTCTAGAATAATACAACATTTGTTTTAGACTTTGAAATTACTAGAGCATCACACTTCAGCAAATAACCAATAAGCCAGATTAAAACCAACGAGTTATTCCATTGAAATGAAAATTTCTAATTTTTAATAGTAAACAAGAATACCTATGTGTAAAACATGACTAATCCCTGTCTAAGAATAAGAAGGAAAAAAAATATACTAAAAACCTCAAATATGATCATGATGCCATATGTTGGTAATGTTCCCCTGCGATATAACAATATCTCCAATATCAATTTTGTATGTGAAGATCAAAATCACCATTATGTATGCCATACAATGAAAATCTGAGTTTGAAATTCGCATAATTATATTTTATTTTCATTATACAAATATCTTCGATAAAATGTAAAAGTACATCTTTTGGACCACATAGAACAGAGCAAAAGGGTCCGCATGATTGAAACATATGTGCTGTAGAAGTGTAGATTGCCTCACAGAATGTGCACCCGAGTTCAACTAATTAAAAATATTGGCCCAAGAATATTTCTAGAAACAGAAATGTATATAACATTTCAAATCTCAGCATGATAATGCCTTAAAATGAATAGCAGCAGAAATTGAAGCGCCAAGGACAGCCTAATTTAAAGATAACGGTAATTTATTCCTATGTTTTACTGAAATATAAACATGATGAAAATGTCCCAATTGCCAAGTAAAAATAGATTCATCATAATAAAAATTTCTCCTATATTCAAATTTGAAAGAATTCCAGGGATAAGACTAATCCTCCTTTGGTGGAATTTGTGTGCACTGTAGAACTGCATGTTCATGTTTGACAATCAGAAACATTCCACACTCGCACACCAAAAAAGAAATGAGAATTCACAATAGCAACCCATGTGAGGAAACAAAGTTACATCAAAGGATGACAGTACATAACAACATCAACCACAAAGTTGGAGAATATTATTTTTCAGGTGGTCCAACTTTATCTGATTTGATAAACTTCCAAACAATTTTTCTAACCCAAATATTCATTAACTTTTAATTATTTAGCTAAATTTCATCAATAGTAAACCTCGAATTATATTCAGATTCTTAGCTGAATTAACAACAAAATATTAACCAGACATCTCATTTGAATTTAGGAATCAAATATTTCCAATTTTGGATTTTTTTTTTTTTTTTGATAAATCAAATTTTCAATTTTGGCTTATTACGCTTCGTTTGTTTCGGCGGAAAACATTTTTCAATGGAAAACACTTTCTATAGAAAACTTTTTTCAGAAAATGTTCTCCATAGAAAACATTTTCCTATGTTTGGATGCATTATTGAAACTAATACATTAATAGTTGTAGTAGTGGTGGTAGTAGTGGCGGTGATGGGGTGGAGGAGGAGGTGGTGGTGGAGGTGGAGGTGGAGGTGGAAGTTGGAGGTGTTGGGGTGGTGGTGGTGGCGATAGTGATAGTGGTGGTAGTGATAGGGTGGAGATGTTAGTTGTTGGTGATCGGGTTGTGGTGGCGATAGTGATCAGGTTGTGGTGGCAGTGGAGGTGGTGGGGGCAATGTGGTCGCATTGGTAGAAGTTTAGTCTGAAAAACATTTTTCACTTTTTAAAAGTGGAAAACATTTTCCGCCCAAATAGGCTTATTTTCCGTTGATCATGGAATATGTTTTCCATTGAGTTTTGTCTTCCACCGAAACAAATAGAGCATTAGTTAGTGAATGATTTATGTTTTCCACTCAAACTGAATCCCATTCTGATTCATGGTGATGACTATCTAAATTAAATACAATTATGGGTGAAGTTGAAGCAGACACGGCCAAGTGAAGTCAACTTCACAAGTGATTCAACATAGCATATGGAAAAAATAAATAAGAGAAGGGTCTCGCCCAGGTGGCTCCCCTCCGCGAATATTGCTGTTATTGGTATAATAATAATAATAATAATAATAATATGCATGATGCTAGAGTTAACATTGTCTACTTCTGCATTGATTCATCAAATTTTCACATGATTTCTTAAAGAAGACTAGCAAGCAATATCACATTTCTAATTCCAATCCCATGTTAAATAAATTCCACATTTTAATTTGATTTTAGCAGCTAGCAGTGGCAACATAGCAAAGCTCCATCAAATTTTACTGAAAATTTGTCCTCTTATTTCAAGATTATTTATTGTTCTCATAGAAACTTTTCAAACGTGGTGCCACATTAGTGATGCATAGTATCCTTGCATTGCCCTAGATTCAGAATCTGAGAAATTTTTTTATTTAAATTGTTTCTAATGAGAAAAGCTGACAAATTTTCAGTTAAAATAGGATTCTTCTAGTAATGGAATCAGCATAAATTTTGAGGTCCAAGATATTAACCTTTTATTCTTGTATAGATTGCTAATTAAAGTCACACACACTCTATGCCAAAGCTTAAAAGTAATCATCTTACAATTATACTGAATCATACCAAACTAGACAATTCACTAATTCTCAGATACATCAACAAAACTAACGACAAGGCTCCTCTTCACGTCCAATTTCAGATCAAATACAAAACAATTAAACAAAGCAAAACAAGATACCATTAATACTTCCATTTTCGACCCACGAAATTCGAGCAATTAGTGAAAAGAAAGAGAGCAAAATTACCTATTCCCTTTTAGCTTAAACCAGGCCTCGGCACAATAAGTATGCACAATTCCAAGCTCATCTTTACAATCGCAACCGAGTTCAATCAAACCAGTGTTGGCCATCATCACAGTCACATTAGTAGTTGTCGGTGGCCTTGGCGGTGTTTCCGGATCCGAACTTAAATGGCAAATTCTACAAATTCTTTCCCCATCCAAATTCTCACCCAATTTCCCATTTCCACCACCACCACTAGACTTGACATCAATTACACAAGAATGCTTATCATCATCTTTCAAATCGCTAACTTCCCGCTCACCCACTGATTCTTTACTAGATCCCAACCCATTCACTGTTGCATTCGAATTCCCAGCTTCCTCTACTGATTTTATCACAATCACACTCTGATCAACCGAATTACTCGAATTCTCATCACCCATAACTCTCTCAAATGAATTATTACTTCAGAAATTAACCAAACAATTCACAATCAAAACATATTTATTCAAAACGCAAACAATGAACTGGGTTGAGTGAAAAACCTCCATTACAGTTCATTGAATCCAATACAATGAATAAAAAATAAGCCGTAAATGTTGGGAATAATAAGAAAATAGCGATCTAGATCACCTAACTAGGGTTGAAGACAATTGAATACTTCAAATCCAAGCGGAGATTGAGCAATCAGTGGAAGACAATTGGCAAAAGAAACGCGCTTTGCTTTGATAAATACACAAGAATTTTGAGATCTAACCTAACGATATCAAGGGTTTTGGCTCTGTGTTCCAACTATTGAACCCTCTATCATTATCGATAGTAGTTGTACTCGTGTTATGCACGGCCTTTATAAATTTAAAAAAATATTATAATTATTTTGAAATAATTTAATATTTTATCTTGTTTATATAGAATATATAAGTTAATTTTTATGTTTATAATTTTTTAAGTTATTAGTTTAAAAAAATTAAAATATGTATATACCTATTTAGCGTAATTTTTTTAATTTGTATTAAAAAAAAGTTAAATTTGATTAAATGAGATTAAATGAATTATGACTTTTTTTTTTTGTTACGAAAATATACAAATTTAAAAGTAATAATGAAGAAAAATATATAATTTTATTATTAAATGTGAAATGAAGTGATATTTAACAATAATTGATATAATATTTCTATTATTAATCCAATAATTTAAGTTACATTTGTTTTAATTTCAATTTCTTAACTAAAAATACAATATGAATATAATACACATACGAATTTCTAGTGTTTAAAAATAAGAAGGTTTTAGAATATTTTCAACATTTATCATTTTCTTTTAATTTTTTTTATCTAATTTGATTTTAAATTTGAATAAAAAAATTTAATTTAATATGAATTATTTTAATTTTTTCATTAAAATTTTATCAATTTTTAGAAAAAACTTTCTTTTTTATTCCAATTTTTTTTTCTTTTCATCAATTTTGAAGGAAAAAATAATAATTTCCAACACTTCATCTTTTTTTAATTTTTATCAAATTATAATTTGATAAAAAAAAATATATATTAAGTGTTGAAGATTCTCTTAATTAGTGAAATAACATCTTGAAATAGTGAAAGTTTGAGTATGTGATTGGTTAAAATGCATAACTTGATTAAAATAATTGTACAAAAATTGGCACTTATGATTACATTATCGGAACTGCTACATAGCTCGAATTGTTGAGCTCGAAATTGGCTCGAATCCAATTTCAAAAGCAGAGAAGGAAAAGAGAAAGAAGGAGGAGAAGGAAGAGGAGGAGGAGAAGGACTGGAGGGGGCATAATCACAGGGGGAGAAGAGAAGGAAGGAGGAGGAGGAGGAGGAAGGAGGAAGGGGAGGGGCTCGGCCGACGGCAGTGGTGCTGCGACGAAGGGGAGGGGCTCTGCGGGACCGGAGGCGACGGCGGTGGTGCTGCGACGATCGCTGGTGTTGCGACGAAGCGGAGGGGCTCGACCGACGGCAGAAGCGGAGGGGCCCTCTCTTTTCTCCATTCCCTCTTCCCTTCCTCTTTCTCTTCTCCTCTCTTCTTCCTTTCTTCTCTCCCTCTTTCTTCTCTGTTTCAGACCACCCAAAACGCCCAAAACGCCCAAAACGACATTCGAGCCAATTTCGAGCCAAGATTTTCGAGCTACGGCTCATTTTCCATTACATTATTATGAAAAGTTTTTGAAGTGTCAAGCATTTTCTATTTGTAAATATTCTACTTATTAAAAAAAAGTAAAAAGAAAAGAAAAAGAAAAAAAATGTGTAGTTTTTGGATATATATTTATCAATTTTATTTTGTGGACATAAACAATTGATGTTTCAATTTTTAAAAGTAAAAAAAAAAGATTTTTTTTTTTTAAATAAAAGAAGTCATCTAACTCATCTATATACTATTTAAGATAAACCATTTTAATCACATAAAAAAATAGAAATTATATTTAGAGATTATCCATATATATTATGCTATTACATACAACTATAGTGTTAACAAATTAACTATAATATATATGAGAAAAGTTATAATAAGATTTCATTTTTAATTAACTGAATTATAATTAACAAACTAACAAATAGCAGCAATGGTATAATAGGATAGACTGAGGATAAAAATAAAGAACACAATGATATTTAAAAGTTTTAAATTTATCTAGTTATACAAAAATTTAATGTTATAATAAAATCTTGAATTCTTAATAAATTTTCACATTTTCTATAAAATAAAATGACAATAAAAAATAAAAAATGTGATACCCATTTTTTTTAATTTCAATTTTATACTCTTCATTGAAGAAAACAAAATCCGATCAAAATCCTTGGCATGGAATGGGCATAGATACTTCGATTGCAACCATCATTGCCAATAATTCTTCTCACCATGTAAACCTGTAAATAAACACATATACCTCATTAAAACAAAGGGTATGGCTTCTGTCCAGTCTGGGATCAGACTGGACCGTGCTGTTGGGCCCGTGGGGGCCCACCACGGGTCTTGTTTTGATAATCTGAACCGTTAAATGTGTAGAACTCGTCGAGTACTATATACCTGTAAAAAAACACATTGATCGGATATCGATAGCTATATGATCAAAACAGAACCAAAACCAAACCAATAGTAGAAAAAGAAAATCACACAGGGAAAAAAATAAAATTAAAAAATAAATAAATTTATAGAGTGGTAGGATGTTACCTCCAACAACTTAGACCTCGCCTAGCCCAATCCGTCAACTCCTCCATCAGTGCTCGCGAAATCTAGGAGTTGGAATGACTAATCAGATTATTCTTTAAGTAAGACTTGAAAGTTGATCAATTTGTCTCGTTAAATGATTTAAAATTTTGATAGGTATACATAAAAAAATAAAAATAAAAAGAAGATAATTTTATTACAAAATCATAATTCAAATTTAGATATTGTCATATCTTTTAAAGATCCATATCTAAATTCTTATCTTCTTATTTTTATGTGGTTTCTATTTGTTTTTTTTTTCCTTCAAATTATTTAAGATGGAGTTGTATGTCTCTGTTTTTTTAATTTAATTTATTTGTGGTTTCTATTTGTTTTTAATCATTATTATTTAGGTAAATTATGATGTTAGTTAGATATATAATAAACATGTGAGTTTTATTGATTTAAAGTATAATGTTGAGAGATATTTTAAAATTAGATTTGTTTAGATAGACTTTAAAGATTTTTAAAATTTAAAATTGGATATTGAGAGGCAAAAAAAAGGTTTTAACTGAATAAATGAAAATCAAATTTGTTAATTTTATCTGTTTGTATATTTGATTTTTAATTTCTTTTGTTATATTATAATATAATATATGAGATATAGATAGATACCCACAACTTTCATGAAAAAATATTATTTGATTTTTTGAGGAGAGAAAAGAAAGACAAGTTTTAATATTTTTTTTTTGGAAATCGGTGAGAGAGATTAGGATGGAGAGATTATCAATATTTTTACAGTGCAATTTTTTTTCTCAATTGCAATCTATTATTTTTTAATAAGAATTTATATTTGTTTCAGATATTTTTTTAATATACAATTTTTTCTTTAAATTTTGTATAAAATAATTTAACAGTCCCATCACTAACCATAGTGTATATAAGAAGTTGAAAATGGTGTGGTAGTATGTACGAGAGAAGTCAAAAAAGCTTATGAGTTAGGAAAAGTCAATAAATGCTGAGTTTTTTTTTTTTTTTTTTTTAAATCGAGTATTTTTTTTTAATTGAAAAATTTTAAAATTAATATTGAAATATTAGAGCTCCCACAAAACTTGTAAGTTAGAAACCCATTTTCCTTATATAATATATAGATAGATAGATATGATATTTATCCATTATAGAAATAGACAATTTGACGGAAATGCTTTAAATTTAATTTTTTTAAATCCTGTTATAATTTTTAACCCCCTTTTTTTTTTTTTCCCTCTTTTGACTAGGTAAAATTCAATAAGGGCATCTTTAACGCTATATCAATTTTTTCATTAAATTTGAATAAAAAATTGAGTAAAAGCTCCCTTTAATATCAAGTGCTCCAATAAAGGGTTTTTGTATGTTCATCAAACCGCTGGTCGACCAGTTAGTGTAATTTTTTCACAAATTTTTGCCTTAAGGTGGTCATCTGGTGGTGAAAATTCAACGGTAATAAACAGTAATTTGATAAAAGGCACATTGGTCCTCAATTTGATGAAAGAAAAGTAAAATTCTAGATTTGATGATGGATTTGATGAACCGTCGGGGACATCCGGTGGTGAAAATCTAATGTCAATTAACAGTGATTTACTAAAAAGCACATTGATTCTCAGTTTGATGAAAAAAAAGTAAAATTCTAGATTTGATAAACCGTTGGAGGAGTAAAAAATAACTTTTTTTATCAAATTTAAATTTGATGGGCCATTGGAGATGATCTAATATACACCCTTTACCATATATGCACCTTTTAGTTATAACCAATTTTGTTCTTCAGTTATGTCACTACTTTTTTTGCTTTTGTTGTGTCACTAATTTTTTTTTTTAGTTGTGACATTATTTTGATATGTTGTATTTGGTTATGATCTTTTTTTTATTATTATAATTTAAAAAATATAAAATTATATCATTTTTTTTAGTTATAAAGTGCATATTTTTCTTTTGACTAATTGTGTTTTGATAAGGTAGTCAGTTTCTGTTTATAATTTTCATTAGAAAACAATTTTTTCGATTTTTATAATTATAATAATAATAATAAAAGTTATTATTATTTATTATTATTTTTTTGTGTGTGTGGTTTTAACCTAATAGCCTTGTTATCGCTAAAAGATGTCGGGAGTTACATAGGTGTTGAAGAGTCATTTAGAATCAATTGATTGGCAGTCGTAAGTGAGCAGTGGATTTTGGATGACAGTTAGTGTGACCAAAGATGGTGAGAATTTTTTTTTATAAAAAAATAAAAACTTATTCTATTTTTTTTTAAAAAAAATACATAATTATTTTAAAATTTATGAAAAATATTTCATTTTTATGAAAATAAAGACAATACATCAAATAAGTTATCTTTTACAAAAATCAAAAATAGAAAGCCTGTAACAACCAAATTTAAAGTAGTTTACAGTTTTGAAATTATTGAACAAAAATTACATTTTAATTGTTCAATTAAATAATGATGTAAGATATACACAATTGTAACATCCGCCAATTATATAGGCGTAGATATTATTTATTTCTCTTTCTCTAGGGTTTATTGGCGCAAGTTAAAAGGGCATTATAGTATTTAGATTAGGTGGAGAAAGATACTGCCAAGTTGCCAACAACATTGATGGATGAATAGGAATAGGGGTCGGTACCTTTTATCACGGCCTTGTTAGCTAGTTAGGTTTAGGTTTGAGTTGAGTGGTATGTTATTTAGATTTAATTTGATAATTTAATGAATTTAAAATTATATTTAAATTTGATTTGTTTATATAATAATTAATATTGAATGAATATTTAACCAGTCGAGCATTAATCAAGCTCAAGTAACTTAGGTTTTTATAATTTATATAAACTTATTTAGTCGTAAATTGTTCAAACTTGATTTAAAAACTTAACATGTTTAAAATTGTATTAAAGTTTGACTTATTTATATAACAAACTGATTTCGAATGAGTTTTAAATGAATCAAACCTGAGTTGAGTTTGAGTAGATTAATTCATTTAATAGCACTAATGATGTACATAAATTAAAAAATATATATTTTTTGATTTCAGCTTGTTTAAGGCACTATATTTGTATATACGCTTAAAATCTGTTTGAAATATATTGAAAAAGCTCTTCTTTTTTTTAAAAATAAATATTTAAGTTAAAAAATTTAGAAATTGATTTTACTTTTGTAAAAATAAGGACAATACATCGAATAAGTTAATTTATAAATAAAAAATTCAATAATAGGAAGCTTGTAAAAACCAAATTCAAAGTTGTTTAAAGTTTTGAAATTATTTAACAAAAATGACTTTTTAATTGTTTGATTAAATAAGAAAAAAATATCACATCAGTGATTTTTTAAAAAAATTATTACAAATTAATGATAAATTTTGTAAATATTTAATAATTAGATTCCTAAAGATTTTTCGTGAATTTGATTTTCTTTTTAATTACCATTAATCTATATTTTCCCAATTAAATAATAAATGTAAGATAAACAATTGTAACATCGGCCAAGTGCATAGATATTATTAGGGAAAATTTCAATTAAGTGTAAATATTAAAAATAATTATAAATTGGTAATATATTTTATCAATATAATAATTAAAATTATAAATTTTTGTATACATATTTAATAATTTCCCCAACTTCTTATAACAAGTAAATTTTCCATATTATTATTTATTTGTCTCTCTCACTATGGATTTTATTGGAATCGGATAAAAGGGCATTATATATTAGGGTAGGTGGAGAAAGTAACTGCGACATTGATGAATGAATAGGAATAGGCCCAGTGGTTGTGCCTTTAAGTCTAGTTTGGAAAAAAAAAATAATAATAATAAAATAAAACACTAGGTAAGAAGTTAAAAAATTATTATAAATTATCTATTTTTTTTATTTTTTATTTATTTTGTGAAAAATTAAAAAATTATTAAAATAATTTATTTTTAAATGAGCCCTTAATTTATAGGGTGATATATAACATTTTGTGTTTTATGATTTAAATTAATAATTATTATTTTAAAAACAACCATTCGTTTAGCCGGCCTTGCTATGCTTATAATTTAAAACTTTTTTTTATTAAAAATATTTATATTTATTTTTTTGCAATTTATTTAGTTGAAAATTGAGAATAAAATAATTTTTTTTAACAAAATTCACTCTAGTTTGACAAATGCTAGAAAAGTCACATTATTATATTTTTTTGCTTTTAGTATTTTTTTTTTTAAAAAATGTGTATTAAACATTTTTTTAAGTCTATTTAGTTTAGAAGGATCTAAAAACTAATATTTCCAAAAAAAATTACATAATTAACTAGAGACTAAAATAATAAACTAACACATCAACTTATCTATATTTTTTCAATAACAAAAAGGATAACGTTTTTGGTATTTGTTGAATGCATAGTTTTTTTTTTTTAACGACTTTATTCTTAAAAAAAATAAATAAATAATAATAATTTTTTTTAAAAAAAAGTAATTCTCAAATTAGTCCTTAATTGATTCTTGAATGATAAGAATTTTGAAAAAGAATGAGAATGTAATTCCAAGGATTCCAGCATTTGGGACAAATTGAAATAAGAAAGTCATTCCTAATTATCAATTTTGACAAAAATTACATTCTTAAACTAAGTAAAAATCTGATTTTCTCATTTCATGAGAATCTTAGGTACCGTTTGGTTTACAACTCCATACTTAATTCTGTTTTTAAATCATAATTTGAATCAAAATTTATAACCGAACAAAATTTTAAAATACAACTCAAAATTACTTTCAAAACTCTTCTCCCTCTCTCTTTTTTTATTATTGTTAATCAATCAATTAATCGTTTTTTCTCTCGTATCTCTCCTCTCTCCTCTCACATTCTATAAATTAATCAATCAAAAAATAAAAAAAATTACAAATCATCTCAAAATTATTTTCAAAACACATAACCAAACAAATTTTCTCTTTTTAAATCATAATTCAAAACTCAAAACTCAAAACATAACTCCACATTCAAATTATAATTCTAAACCTAAACAAAACGTTGCATTCTTGATGAGTCAAACGTTTGAATAAGATTAACACAAAACCATATTAGCAGGTTTCTCATTACTAGTATTAAAATTCTTATTTTTTTCAAGATTATTATAATTCAAACATAACCAACGGAAACACAACCAAACAAGCATTCCCAAAACATACATAATTTTTTTTTTCTTTTTCTTTCTAATATGCCCTAATATGATTAATACTTTAGGGTTTTAATGAAAGCAAATGGAGGAATTAGATTTATGTAATCTACTCTAAGAACACTATAGTGCCTGATTTGTGATTATGGACCATTAATGTTTAGTCTTCACCAAATTTTAGGCAACAGCTTGCAACTATGATCAAGTCAACAATGGTTTCCTATTAAATGATCTTCTCTTCAACAATGTCAATAATTTGGGTTTATGTGGTGAATGTAACCCCAAGTTGTCTTGACACAATCAACAAAGACAGATGTCTTGTCTGATTCTTTTACCATAAACTAACCACAGTTAACAAACAGTAATAATCTACAAATATAAAAATATAATAATAATATATATATATATATATTAAAAAGTATGCATAGTCATATGAGTGTGTTTGAAATTGAAATGCATAAATTAGTAAATATGATTAAATTTGTAGTTATAGCGACAGCTAATTTTTTGCTTATATATTAATATAAATATAGATGTGTGATTGGCTTTTTGAGTTGAATTGGACATTGAATTCAATTTTCATGAGAGCACCTTTAAATCTCAGATCTCTAAACCATACTACAAAGTCCATGTTCTCACATTGAAATTGAACTAGATATTTAAATTTTTTCACTTAAATGGGACATTCAGTTCAATTTTTGTGACACAAACACCCACTGCAAGACCTCTAAGTCCTCAAACTAAAATTGAATTAGATATCTAATTTAATAGTCATACTCATATCTATATCTATATATAGATATATAAAATATCCTCTCAACCATTATTAAAGCATCAAACAATGTGGATATAAATCAAGAAATATGGATAAGAAGAGGCTTGGCAGAGTTTATAACTTGTGGTTACGGGCATTAGGACATACTTGAGTGGGCAGATTTGGTGGTCATGGTTTAGAAATGCTTATAGTCAGGCACAATCTTATGGCATGTCTGTATATAGGGTTCGGACCGTCTCCGGTCCAGATTTGGGACAATTCGGTCTTAGCCTTTTTTTGATAATCAAAATCATTCACATTTAGAATTTGTTGAGTACATTATTCCTCTAAAAAATTACGTCGATCGGATAACGAATACTATATATTCGGATAACTTTTGTTTGAAAAAAAAAATAGACTGTCAGAAAATTAATTGTTCATAAAAAAGTGATATGAATACATAGTATCCGTTATCTGATCGACGTGATTTTTTTACAAGAATAATGTACTCAACAAACCCTAAAATGTAAACGGTTCAAATTATCGAAAAAAGACCTAAAAGTGAACCCAATGAGTCAGACTGGAACTTCCAATCTAAATGATGGACTGGAGACAAGTCCCAAAATAATCTTCTTTAAAAATCTAATAAATATGTGTACATCTTATTATTTTCAGACTTCATTTTAATAGGATTCATTTGTATGAAATAGAAATATCTTTAATGATTTCAAATCCAGTATGTTCACCTCACATGAATGGTGCACTGGACCTCCAATAATGACAAATGATTGATGCCATGCCACACATTTTCAATTGACAACAAAGACTGTGAGCTGGCAATATGTAGTGGTGCCAACTCATTTGACACCAACCAACTTTGATTTTATGATGTGAGGTAGATTTACAAATTTGACATGTCCGCATCATTTTCCACAATAGAAGGGAAAAATAATTATGAGAAAAAAATGAAAAATAAATGTAGCTTGAAAAATTGAGATTTAGCAAATCATTTTTTAGTATATATAGATATATATTTTTTTCTTTTTAATATTCTAAAAAATGATACGTTTGGTACGTGTTAAAAATAGATTTTTTTTAGTTTATTCAAACTTTTATTTTTTGGTAAGAAAATATCATATTACCCTTATAATAGTGTGAGACCATGTTAACATAAACAAAGGGATACGGTGGAATGTTCAAATAATGAAGGGTGACAATGTCAACAAATTTGCATTTACACTACACAACAACTGAATCTTCCGCAATTTTCTCAAATACAAACATAACTACTTCAAAAACAGTGTTCAGTCTACATATTCTCTTCCAGAAATATCATTAGTCTAAATATTTACACTTGGCATTGTTTCTTAGACAGTTCCTAACCTGTGCCGGTCTTGCTCTATATTGTACAATGGGACTCACTACATGAAACTTCTGCTAAATTGGGGCCAGAAGAGAGAGATGTACGTAGATAAGGTAAATGATACATTTGTGTCACCTCGGTCCAGAAAGCTCAATGGGTTCTATAACAAATGAGGAATCATCGTGGACACTGTAGTTCCCAGTGAAATTACAAATCTGCCCTTCGCACGTGTTGTTTCCACCCTGTGATTCCTCCACATGACCTGGCTGCCCGGCAATACTTTCAAGGATCTTTAAGACTTCTGACATCTTTGGCCGGAGGTTGGGGTTCGATTGAGTACAATGCAGGGCTACTTCAACTGCTTTTTCTAACTCTTCTGCACTAACACATCCCTTGAGATCCCTATCCACTAGCACTTCTAGTCTTTTTTCTGCGTACAAGGTTCTAACCTGCAAAATCCAACTAATAATTACAATCCATGATTAATGGACACAATGGAAAAAAGAAAAAACAACTTTGGGAAGTAGGGTGGTCTTCATTATGTAGTCAACCAGGGCAAAGAAGATATAAGCTAAGGTTTTTGCAATTTAGTGACCAGTGGTAGCAGATGAACAAACAACACATGTTTAGAACAGTTTAATTTCACGCTGGACGTCAGGTTTTCACAACTTTACTTGTCCAGGCCTGGGTCAAGTCGCTGCCCTAAACAGCACTGCATTTCATTTTCCAGGGCAACCATGACAAAAAGAACAACTCAGATAGACATAGACACATCAACTTGTGCAGAGTTGTTTTGGAGGGACTTTCCATGGAAAAATGCTATTAGAATAGAAATCCATAGTCTGAGTTTGCTTAGGATGAAAGTTGATAGAAAGGCTAATCCAATGGTATATTTGGGAAAGAGGAAAAAAAATGAGTTTATTTGGCATGAAAGTAATGAAAACGACAATAAAACTAATTTTCTCATACAACTTATATTAGCATTGTAATTAAAATTTTAATCTCTTGCAAAAACTACTGGAAAACACAAGAAAAATTTTAAAATGTCCATGCAAAGTGTTACCTACAATTAAGATTTCAAATTTCTCTATATTTTTTTGCAAAATTTTCATCCTAATTAAATGCTTGCAAGGAAATATATTTTCGTTTCCATTTCTTTTCTTTTATTTTCACTGGTCACCATTTTTTCTTTCCCATAAAAAAGGTAGAAAAACAAAAATCAGAAGAAAAAGGGTACTACCTTGGAGAGGTTCCTCATCATAAACAAAAGGAAAATTAATAATAAAAAAAGCTAATCAACAATTTTGGTTATTCTCAATGCAAGCATTCTCAAATGGGAACATTCACAGCAGCTGTTTGATTGACAATCAAAACCACTTCTACTCTGTTGTTTACACTGGTGATCTATAAATTCAAAGAGGACTTCTATCAATTCTTTTCTTACTAAAAACATGAAAATGGAAACTTTGCACCCAAAAAAATAAAAAAGAAGAAAATAGTACCAAAATACAGATATCATAAAATGCTACTTACCCAATCAAGGATCATTCCCTTCTGAATCTGACCATTTCCAGCATCTAATGCCTTCTGCCCTGTTATAAGTTCCAAAAGCAGTATGCCAAATCCAAAAACATCGGTTTTCTCAGAAGACTGCCCAGTCGAAAGATACTCGGGGGCGATGTGTCCTACAGTACCCCTCACAGCAGTAGTGACATGTGAATCCCTAAGATCTAACAGCTTAGCAAGACCAAAATCCCCAACAACCGCTTCAAATCTTTCATCAAGCAAAATGTTTGCGGCTTTGACATCCCTGTGAATTATTCTTGGATTGCACTGCTCATGTAAGTATAACAGTCCGCGGGCAGCACCAAGGGCAATATGCATGCGTTTATTCCAATCCAAAGACGGCTTTTCCTTACCAGTGTCTGTTAATGAGAATTCAGAGACAAGGAAGTTGCATTTGTATTCAATTAGAGAAACCATGTGAATGGAATATAACTAGTTCCCATGCAATTTTAAGCCCAATAAGGATGGAAACTTGTCTAACAGTCAAACATAGTAATATTGAAATTCATCATTTACTAGCATAATGATTATATAATGATGCACAGTGGATTTTGACCTAATTCTTTCTTTTAGACCCTCAAATTGGTGATTTTGCCAATTTTGGAAAGTTATGTTCTAGTAATGACTTTATTTGGGGATATCCGTTTTGACATATTTCTAATATTTTCTAGTATCCAAATTTGGACTTAACCCAAATTTCTCAAATTTTTGTAATTTTTGTAATTTTTTTTATTACTCTTGTGTCTAGCAAGGAATTAGTTTAATTAGTTGTTTTCTTGTTGGATTAGGGCTTCTCATATTATAAATAATCATGTATGCCTTGGGGCAAGAGAACTTTTGATCAGTATTATTCAATTCCTCTTTCAAAATTCGTTTCTTCCTAGTGGATTCAAGGATTCTTTCCGTAGATTCGGTATTCTTCGTCCACTGGAATGATATCTAGTTCTATGTGATAATTCCGTTGCGTCATATACAAAAATACCATAGTTGAATAAATCAAGTGCCTGACAACTTGTTAGTGAACAACAGTATAGTGGAAGGTCTATGAATAAAGAACAAAAGTACCAAGACACAATAGATTGCATGCACAAACCTCTCAAGCGATCAGCAACGCTTCCATTTGGCATATAAGGGTAAACCAGCAACCTCTCATTAGCTGTCATACAAAATCCATATAATCGAAGAAGGTTTCGGTGCAAAGCCAATCCTATCATCTCAACTTCAGTTTGAAACTGTTTTTCTCCGGTGAAATTGGGATCTCTCAGCCTTTTCACTGCCACCACTGTCTTGTTTGGTAGATATCCTTTATATACAACTCCAAATCCACCTTGACCTAAAATGTTTTTAGGACTAAAATTGCTCGTAGCAATTTGCAGTTCACGGAATGAAAACCTCCTTATGTGATTAGCATCAAATTCGATATCTTGCTGCACTGCATATTCAAATGACAAGAGATTTTACTACAATATGCATCTCCAAAAACATGCTATTAAGAAAAATAAACTATTGTCGTTCAGGAGATACCATATGATGTAAATAGAAGGCGAGATCTGTACCAATGCACCCAACTGACCAGAAGCATCATGAAAATGACAAATATGCAACTCACACCTACGGCAACAGAAACAACCCATCGATGATGATTGCTGACTTTCTGATATGAACTCGTGTCTGAAAGTGAAACACACATTATCTGTTAGTAAAAATGTGATAGACTGCTAAAGGATGGAAAAGTTATACATATCTTACCATTAACGGGGTTTGTAACATTCTTACAAATTTGTGCAGACGAAAAAGAGCAGAGAAAACCATTCCCTGTAACACTGCAATGAAAACAAGATGAGAGAAGAAATTTGTGATGTGCATTATGTAGGGTGTCAAGAACAATGTTTTGGTTGAATCATAAAGCTTAAATGAATGATAGTAACACCACCAATTAATTAACAGTTGAGTACACCATAAAATTTCCTATAAACTTGCACTGGGGAACGTGAGCGATCCAAAGTAACCCTGTTTGCAATCTCTAAATAAGCAATTTTTTGGCAAAAAAAGCCAAAAGTAAAAAAACATGTTTGGTTTGGCTAAAAAAGCAACTTCACTATAAAAAACAACTTCTTTTGGGGAATGGCAATAGAATTGTTAAAAGATGATTTTATACTCCATACTTTGAAAAATTCCAGAGTGTCCCTTTGGTTATGTTGACAAAGGCTATGGTAAATTTTCACCAAAAAGCAGAAGTTGACTAGCAAGATTTTCTCTATAACAAAAAAGCAACTTTTTTGGCAATTACCATACACATCAGTTTTCTTTGGATTCTAAAAAAAAAAAAATACTAATAAAACAATTGCCAAACCCCACCTAAGTTTTGGCAGTGTTGGACCTTGGCATGTAGTGTGGAAGTGGTTATACACTAAGGATCTCACCTGTAGCCTTTAGCTTGTATTTTTGGAGTAGGACCACTAAGGTTATTGAACGACAAGTCCCTGCACAAGATTGTTGGGAGAATATTCAGCATCTGATTATGCTTTTTCAATGTGAGTTTAACAAAAAAAAAGAAAAAAAAAAGAAGCTTAGATGCAATTGAATACATACAAGAATGATAGACCTGTAAGATCTGCAACAGGTCTAGGAATCTGTCCAGATAACTTGTTTCTGCTAAGCCGTCTGAAAACTTGTCATAGCAAAGGATTAAAAAATGGACCATCACACCCAGTTTAAATGAACAAGGAAAATGGATCAAGCTATACTCACAAGTAACTTAGATGATCCAGGAAACCCAAAGAGCTTGGAATTTCACCGATGAACTGATTTCCTGAAAGGTCAAGAGTTGTTAGTTCTGAAAGCTTCCCAATCTCAGCTGGGACAGGACCGGATAACTGGTTGTTCTGCAATAACCTTCAAGAAGAACAAAGGATACTGATTAGGAATAACTCAGTTTATGTCCAAGGAAGTTAACGTTAGAAATTGATGCACTTAACTAGGGTAGGTGAGATGTGAAATAAAAACATGAATTGAACAAGAATCTAAACCACGCACACAATAACACAAATATTTACGTGGTTCAACCCAGAATAGGACTATGTACAATACAATTAAGAGAGATGCGGTACTTCAATTATAAATACATAGTATTGGGGCAATAGGGCAAAATAGTGAAACACTAAAAATATCCTTACTTTACAGCGGTCAAGTGGTTAATGGTCAGTATTTCACTTATTAGGATCCACACTACTCAACATATAGGGGACAAGAAGGGAGGATAAAAAGGAGTACATATTGATAATCAGAGCCTTGCAACTAATCATAACTACAGAACACAAGTTCCTTTGCTTATCTTCCAATTGAAACCTCAATTACATTCTTAACATTTTACAACTATTCAGTGTTGTATATTTCCTTCATATTTTCCTCTTCTTCTTCTTCTTCTTCATTTTTTTTTTCTCTACATTAAAAGGAAAGGAAAACAAGCTCTTGACAAAAATAACATCCTTATGGAGTAGTGGACGGCCCTCCTACATGAGAAATTTCATAAACTTGCAGGAACTAGAATTTTCCATAAGCAGATTTCAATTGTTATCAAGTACCAACTAGGAACAACTTGCAAAAATAGAAACAACATCATCTTCCTTTCAAATCCAATATAATTGCATGATCTAGGAATAGTTTGGTGCGTATTGGACAAATAGCCCTAATACGTTTTTAGCCACAATTACATCACTGTATCAAGATTGAGTAACAATCAATCAGACATGCTGTGTGCCCAAATTTTGCTTGCTTAGTTGCAGGGGATTGTTTGCCTTGAGCTGAATTCACACCATTGAACTAGTGAAGAATACCCAAATATCTCTAAACCTGTAAAACTTTCAATAGGTGACAATGAAAATAAAAATGAAAAATCCATCTAAAATGCAAATAGATTAATGGGCTCACATTGTCTGAAGGTGAGTCAAATTCCCAACACCTGGTGAAAGAATCCCTGCCAATCTCATACTGGCCATGTCACTGTCAAAAATACCCAAAAACAAGAACTAAAAAAAATCAATAAAAATTGGAAGTCATTTCAAAATTACCACCCCAAAAAACCAAAAAAAAAAAGAAAAAAAAAAGAGACTAATTCATTTTGTTTCTGCTGCCTCAAAACAAGAGCAATTCAAGACTTACAGAGAAATTACAAAGCCCTCTGGAGAGCAACCAACCATGTTCCAAGTGCAAGGATCAACAGAATTTATATCCCAACCATCAAGTACATGATATTCATCTATCATTTTACTCTTCACAGACATCAATGCAGCCACTGATATACACACCCAAAAAAGAAAAAAAAATCAAAATCAAAAAAATGTTGATTTTGAACTATAATTAAATTTGTATGGCAAGCTATTTCCCAAAATTCTGAAAACAACCCACCATTTAAAAACAATGAGAAAATGAAACCCATGTGGAAACAAGAGGGTTTTCAAACTTTTCATTATTTCAACCAATAATGACATATCAAAAAAGTACTAAAAGAGCTCAAATGAAGTCAATACTTCACCTTCAAAGTTAACACCCTTAGGAGAGAGAAGACTATCATCAGAAGCTCCACCTAGACCCACCCAAAAGAAAAGAACAAACAAACCCACCATTACCCATTCCATTGGAGCACAGAAAGGCGACAAATTTGTTGAAATTAACTCTTTACAAGTTCATGACGGCTCTGAGAATTTGCAAAATGTAGAGATTTGGGGGTTTTGAATGGAAAATTAAAGTCATCGTCAATGTTTTTTAGGAATCTAGACTAGATTGTTGCATCGAGGAGCTCTGATGATAAAACGTTTAAAAAATAATGTGAAATGAAAATTGAGGAAAATGGTATTGGGAGCGATGATGTAAAAGAAAAGAAAATGTTTGGATGTTTGGAAAGCGGGAAAATTGCATCGAGATTTGGGAAATGACAGAAATGGTTCCCCTGTCTTTCTGTTAAAAAACGAACCGACACCTCTGCCCAACATGGCTTTAATTAGACGGGTCGAGTCCGCACCCTAAAGCTCCCTCTTGGTCCCATCTAGATTATCTAGATAAAAATTAGATTTTCTTCGGATTTGTGAGGCTAAGGTGAGTTTCGTTTTAATAATTTAAATAGATTATTTTTAAAAAAATTTATGTATGTTATTTATAAAAATAATTAAGCCTCCGTTTGGAAAGTAAGTTGATTTTTTGACTATTTTAGTATGGGTTAAAAAGTTTGATTTGCGAATAATTTTTTGACTTTTTTTGTGAGAGAAGAGTGTAATGATTATGGATTGGATGTGATGTTTTGTTTGTTGTGGCTAAATAGCCTATTTTGTTTTTTTGTGGCTAAAATAGTCAAAAAAACTCTTGCCAAACGGATTATAATACAATAATCGTAACATATTTAATTTATTATATTTATTTCAAAAAAATAATAAATGACAAATATATTTTTAAAAATAAATTATTCATTTTTTAATTGTAAATACAATAAAATGAACAAATTATTGAAGCTTCGTTTGACATTAGCTAATATAGTCATTTTTTTGTGTTAGGACTTTTTTAATCTAATTTTTTTTAGTTTCGTTTGGTTTGAATTTTTTGACTTTTTTAAATTTTGTGAAAGAAAATATGTAATGATTCTGAATTAGATATAATATTTTATCTTATTAACTTATTTTTCCATTATGTATTTTTTAGTCCCAAAATGATGTCAAACCCGGGCTAAATTGACCTAATTTTCTTATAAGTGATGTACACACAAAAAAACTTGAGAAAATTACCATTTAGTGATAATTTCATAAATTTATTACAAAATAAAATATATATATATAATTTATAATTTATTTTCAAAATCTCAATTGAATTGCAATTTTTTTTAAAAAAAAATTTACAAAATAAATTATTTAAATTAACGAAATAAACACATGAGGGAGTTTGTAGCTACCAAACCCTCGAATTCATCATACTACAATTTGGTCAATTGGCGCGAAAAATGTTGCAGACTTTGCTACCGTGTGGACTTTCGAACACACCCTCTGACATGACACGATTAATGTTACTTCCTCCGTCCCAAAATATTGATCCCTATTGGGGAATTTAACTTTTTTTGATAGTATACTTATTGCATTTGAAAAAAGTTAATTTTTCAAAATTACCCTTTTGATAGTACATTTTTTGGGAATATCAATGTCATAATTGTACTTTTTAAATTGTTTATTAATTTAAAAGAAGGGCAAAATAAGAAATTTACATTATTTTTGTACTTGATTTATAAGGAGGGACTAATATTTTGGGACAATAAAAAATGGAATAAGGGACTAATATTTTGGGACGGAGGGAGTATGAAGTGAAGTCCATTTATTTCTGTTTAGCTGCTAGGAAAATGAGTCCGGATTCTCGGCCGCTCTATCCGGCAGTCCTACCCGGTAGCCCCTAAAACGATGTCGTTTTGGGGGTAAATTTTCAAAAAAAAAACAACGCAGAGGAAGAGAGGGAGGAAGGAGAGGAAGAGGAAGGAGGAGGGAGGAGGAGGAGGAAGGAGAGGAAGAGGAAGGAGGAGGGAGGAGGAGGAGGAGGAGGAAGGGAAGGGCCGGACTGGAGGGGGCCATAACCAGTGGGGGAGGAGGAGGAGGAGGAGGAGGATCCTCCTTCCTCCCTCTTCTCCCTCTCCCCTCCCCTCCCTCTGGTTTCCGTTCGAAGAGAGAGAAAACGAGAACGAAGAAGAAGAAAAAAAAAAAAAAAACCCCAAAACGACGTCGTTTTGGGGGGCTGCCGGGTAAGGCGGCCGAGGATCCGGATTCGAAATGAGTATTATAAAAAAATATTTTATAAAAATAATTATAAAAGATTTGACTTTTAAATTATACATGTAATATATTATAATGTATAATGTAAGAATGAATATTCTTTTGTGACTATCCTCGTGAAGCATTTTTTTTATAAAACTTAAGTCGTGTTTAGTTTAGAAATTTGAAGAGAGATTTAAAAAGAAAAAAAAATATTTGAAACTAAATAAAATATAATATTTCATTCATATTTTACGTCTTTTTTTTTTAAATCTTCCAACTAAAAAAAGCGTTAACATTTTCCTAAAAAGATTTTCATTCTTTTCTTCACCTTCATCAGAATATAAGAAAAACTTAGCGCACTCACAATTCAAGGCAATAATTTAAGTCTCATTTAGAAATAGACTTTTTAAATAATTTTTTGACTTTTTAACTAAAATATAATATAAAAAAACTAATATGTTTAGAAAGACTTTTTAACTTGAAAAATGCTAGAGGTCCCAAATTTTCTACCAAATAAATGACTAAATATCTCACACCACACCCATGTGAGACATTTGGTTATTTGTTTGATAGAAAATTTAGTGTCCCTAACATTACCCTTTTAACTTTCTGTGAAAAGATGTACAAAATATAGAGAAAAAAGAAAATCTTTGATTTTTTTGTATGAGTTGTTGACTTTTTAATTTTTTTAATGACTTTAACTAAAAAAATCACTTGCCAAACGAGACCTAAATTATGTAATAAATGAAATTAAACATTGCCCCCACGAACATTGAAATGAATTGCACACGCTCTACACAAATTATTCTTGGATGGGATTAAAATGAAACCAACAACATTATTTGAAGGAGGAATTACAAATCAATGAGAACAAAGAAAATTAATTGTAAAAATATAGAAATACAAGTGAAAACTGTGATCTTACTTGCACTAGAGGACAAACTCCACTTGTACCTCTATATTTTCACAATTACTTTGTACTTATTCCCATTGATTTACAATTTCTCCAAAGAGAATACTAACAACTGCCAAGTCTATGCATGCACAAAGACTAAACAAAAATACCAAGCCATACCAAAACGCAGCAGCATTACATTCCTGTGATTCAAAGCTCAAACAAATCAGATGGCAACTGATCAAAACCTCAGCACGATCATGTGGCAGTTTCGATAGATCACTTCCAAGTCCATCATATCAGGGAAGTGAAAAACAAAAAACAGCAAATGACAAATATATATATTGGCAGAACTAGCACAAGGTAGCATAGTATAGGTACAAAGTAGAGCAACAACATTCTATGATTCAGTCAGCCACAAAACAACCAAACATTAAAAAGTACAAAACAAAATCAACCACCAACAACAATTCCCACTCCCCACCCAACCCATCTGTTCTTTTAACCGCCTTCCTAGCTATCTTTTTCTTTTCTTTTTTCCCCTTCTGCAGAAAAAACTATATGATTATAAAGATTACTACAAAACATATACAAACAGATTCTCTCTCTCTCTCTCTCTCTCTCTCTTTCGTTCTCTCTTATCCTTTTTTGGGTAGTAGGGAAGTTTTTGTTAGGCGGCATAGCAAAGGAAAAGCATCGGGTCAAATGAGTGCAGCCATTGAGCCTCCTAAATCTTTAATGTCATCATAGAGCAAGATATGGTTGCTGATCAGACAGGCCCACCACAGGGTGATTTAAATCCCCATGTCTCATTCATAGATTTGTAGAAACCAATTTTCCATCACTCTTTAACTCATGTGATTGAAGGGAAGAAATTTAGACCCATATGTCGTTTCACGTGCTCTGGTATCAACTTGCTAACAAGCTCCGGAGAAGCTCCAGACAACTGTGCGATCAGAACAATACAATTGTTCAATCATTATGAAAAACTTTAATAGCAGTTAATGAAACTTTTTGTGTAAGCACTGAATAATCTCATAGCAATTTTTGAATCCAATCAACTCAAAAAAGCCTTGTCTGACCCATAATTATTATTGGTGTTTATAAACATTGTCATCAAAAATCTAAAAAAAAATTCACAGAATCATGACAAACAAAACAAAACAAAATTACGCAATTAAGAAAGAAAGAAATGATACAAGTAAAATCATTGAACCCATACACAGAGAAATAAAGTTATGTTCGCTATTATGCAATTAAGAAAAGCTTATCTAATGAATGCTGAAAGTCTTTTTTTTTTTAGTTTTATATTGAAGGGTATATACGTGTAATCAAGTTCATCTTCCCTTATAACTATCAAACAACTCACTCACACTATTTTAATTGACACAATCCCATCATTATGGATGCTTAACATCCATGCCTTGGTAAAATTCTATGCAGATATCAGAAACTTTAAAGCAAAATATCGAAACTTTGAAAAACACATTTCCAATTTTTCTTCTATTATGTTTTTTTAATCAATCCCAAACTTTCAGACCACACTGGAGTCATCACTGCCCATTGAATTTGTTAAATAAATTGGTAAGGTGGGGTCATGTTTTGCATAACTTGATGACTTAATCATCATTTAATAGTTAAAGTCTCTTTTGGGGAGTATAGAATGAAAATTCTGCTTAATTAAAACTTCAAACTAATCATTTTTTGCCAGACAAATGATAAGTACGAAATCTGTGTCTTATTTATCACATGAGAAATATTGATTTTATATTATTAAAAACATACAGTTTTGCCTCATTTTTTTCAATTGGTAAGAATTTTTCAACTAACTTTTTATCAATATCAGCATTTAAGCATTGGAGCCACCCCAGGGATAAATAAAAAGGGCAACAAAATAAAACAAGTAGGGTATTGAGATATACCTCCTGCTTAAAGTTGAAAAGAGGGGGTAATGGGCGACCATTCGGTAGACGAGCACTGGGTTCTCGAAGCTCATCAAAGAATGGATGTGCGCATGCCTCTAGCTGCAATATGAAGAAAATGACCCACTCAAACAGAGGAGAATGAATACTTGAGTGAGAGAGAGTCCGGGTCATAATAACTCATAGTGACAATCCCCATTTCTATAACTAGACATTAATGAATTATTCATACTAATGAAAGTAGAATCAAACTCACTGCAGTACAGCGAAGACTTGGGGAATATTGCAGTAGCCGTGAGGCAAGATCAATTGCTTCAGGAGGCATCCGGTGGTGGAAAACCTGAAACCACAGCCACACAAAATCAGAGTGAGTCATGCTACTATAAAAACCAAAGTGACTCATCATAACTTAATAGTAGAATGAAAGTATACCTTGTGCCAAGGATGCGCCTTTATTTGTGGAAACCTAAAATCAGTATAATTCGGATTCATACAACGAACTTCTTCCCGAGTTGGTGTACCAAGAACCTGAAAGAAAGAATGTAAGAAACTATCACAGATTCACATTGTTAAAGAATTGCATATTTTTTACACTACTGATAGAACTCTACCTTGATAATCTCCACAAGCTGGTCCACTGCACTTTCTCCAGGGAACAATGGCTAGAAGAGTGGACATCATGAAAAGTCAGCTAAACATAACAGAAATGTGGAAAACATTGAAAACATAGAAAACATGGAAAACGCTGCAGACCTGGCCTAAAAGAAGCTCAGCAAGAACACAACCAGCTGACCAAATATCAATTGAGGTTGTATATTCTGTGGCACCAAATATGAGTTCTGGAGCGCGATAGAAACGTGAGCATATGTATGATATGTTTGCTTCACCCTTCACCTGTGTCAATTGGAAAAGAATAACATTGAATATACGAAACATGCTATTAGAAACCCTATGAAGTTTAATGATATTCATCAGCATAAATCCGTTATTTAAGAGAAAACAGCTTTGGTCATGAAATATACATGGACATCAGGAAACTAGATTACAATATTTTTCAACTCAAAATTCCTCAGGGAAATAGTTGAGGCATGGAAGAGGAATTGAAGTCAAAAGACTTCAAACAAACTATTCATCCATACATCTAAGAAAAATAGTTTTTTTTTTTGGGTAATCATAAGAAAAATAGTTAATATGACTAATCAGATAATCAACAATCTTTATATTCAGAACCCAAAAACACTAAATAAGAATAAATCTAATTAACCTAAATACACATGTAAATAAGCAATGTCAAGGAAAAAGATCCAAGATCATCCAGGTCCAGTTATATGATAACTCAATCTCATTATGATGTTGTTAGTTCAAAGTATCACACCAGAAAGGTTGAAGTGGTAATCACTAATCAGCATGCCAAGTATGGGTCTAATAAACCAAAAGCATTGCACTATATTGAACTCTAATTGAGAGAGAGAGATCAGCACTCCACAACCAGAAAACAAGTAGGGCATTAACCACATAGGCAATATTTGGTTCAAATAGTACCCGTTTATGTTTAACTTACTATGGTCATCAAATTAAAATTTTCAAAACTCCTGAATATAGCCAATTGTCCAAGTATACTTGCACAAAGTGACGCTGCATCTCACAAAGCAAGAAACCACAGAGCAATGGAAGGTACCACAGCAATTGAAACCACACCCTAACAGGTACAAATGCCCCAACTACAAGCACACAGTGACTCAAAAAACATAAGAAGAATAACCAATGCAAGAGTCACCAACAAGAAGTACTTCAAATGTATCAAAGTTCAAAAGATATATATCTGTCAAGAACAACGATAACCACACAAACTACGATGCAGTGAAGAAAAGTGGAATGTGGACTTCCAAGAATCAATTAACAATATGCCAAGGAGAGTTCACATCAACTATGGGACATAGCCGCAGCAGAATACCAAAATTTGGGCCATTCTTAAAAGTATATCTCATTAAGTCGTTAAATGACTTCTTTTTTTTTTGAAAGAATACTGAACATGTGCATCCAATAAACAACATATTATGCCCCAAGGTTCAGATAAAAAAAAAAAAAAACCATTCTTCATACAGAGTCCATGGCCTGAACATATGACAAATGAACAGATTTGATCACAATATTTTAAGTATATTATGCCCAATGTTGATATGTGAAGTACCACAATGCACCAGCATAGGACTACACATACTTGGAGCAAATTCAATAGGTAATCTAAAAGATAATAGATAGCCAATGGAGAGAGCTGAAATAAAGACTTGCACATACTAGCATTTTTGCACTTCCAAAATCACAAATCTTGACCTGGTGAGAAAGAGGATCAACCTGTACAAAGCCAATAATGACCTCAGCAAACATCCATAAAGAGTTTTCTCAAATTAATAGCCAAAAAAATGCATACCAGAACATTCTGAGGCTTCAAATCCCTGTGGCAAACTCCAGGAACAGTGTGCATATATGCAAGCCCCCTGAAAATCTGAGAAAATACCACACTAATTAATACAAGTCGAAGAAATAAGAAAACAATGGAATCTTGGACGAGCACAATGCATACTTGGTAAGTGTACAGTTTCACATAGATGAGAGGCATTGTCTGGTTCATATTGCTGTAATGCTTCAAAACCCGATACATGGTCTCGGGGACATACTCCATGACTAAGTTGAGAAAAAGCTCATTTTTACTCGTAGTGGAAAAGAAACAATGCTTCAGAGAAACCACATTCGGATGATCCATTGAGCGCATTAATTGCAGTTCACGGTTCTTGTATCTTCTGTCTTGCAATACCTTCTTTATCGCCACTGTCTCTCCAGTTTCCAAGCATTTTGCCTATGAGAAGAGTGGCATCAGCGCATCAAACGAGATAAAAAAGATTTTGCTGCATGAAAGAGCAGCAAACATCATCTCCATACCTGAAAAACAATCCCAAATGACCCCGTCCCAACAACACGCTCGGCCATATAGCTGATGGTCTGCAATAAGCATAAAAATACAATCAATCCCCCTACATGAGTAAATTTAAGAGGGTAAGCTATCAAAATCGCTCTGTTTGGTTTCACTTTTAAAATTTGTTTTCCGAATTATTTTCAGAAAAAAAATGAAACAAATTCGTCATTTTCCTATGATTTTCTCTTTTTGGGGGTGAAAATATATCTTTACTATTTATTTTCATCAAATTTAGTTTCTATTTTTCCAAAAGCGGATTTTGAAAACCAAACCAAACAGATATATAAATATTTATGAACTGAATTCCAGTTGATTTGAAGACTGGATCATTTGAGGGGCTATGAGTCTTTCTAGTGAAGATCCAGTTTTATTAAATGTGTTCCCCAACACAAACAATTATATATCCGAGTGTATGAATCAGTAAGAGATCTTGATCAGAGCAAGTCAAAATTGTGTTCAAGAAAGTAGAATACCTGTTTGGGTTCTCCATTTTTGCCACCAATAGTAGTGGAAATTATGTGACCAGTGACTGCATCATTTGCATCAACAACTGGGGCAGAGATCTCCTGGAAGAAATATGAGATCAAGATGTCAGACAAGCAACTCACAGATCAACTAGCTATGAATGTCAAACAACTGGTATTTAATCTTTAAATTTTTTTACAAATAAAACTACAAAAACAAGATCGGATACATCAGATCAGAAATTAGAAAATTCAAGAGATCTCTGATGAAGAACAATACTAAAGACATTCTAGTGAGCAATTTTACTAAACCAAATCAGAGAAAATTTGAAAATGAAAAATATAGATATATATATACACAAAATAAAAAAGATCTAAAAAGTAGTTCAGCTTAAGATTCACAACATCTCAAGGAAACCCTAATCAACCCTCCGTTTGCTTACCCAGAAAACAGAAAAACAAAGAAAATAAAAACCCACATAAAATTTAACTTTTTTAGCCAAAGGTATGTGAAAAAAACGCCAATTTAGCTAAATTTTCTGGGGAACCAAACGGAAACCATGCACAGCCATTAAGAGATCAGATTTGATGGGAAATTTTTCGGGAAAATGAAGAGATCTTACCTTATCGTCAGCCATGAATCATCCGGCGAACGATGATGGAGGAGGAGGAGGAGGAGGAGGAGAAAGAGGAGAAAGAATCTTTTCTTTTTTGACAAAAGTTTTCAGCTCATAATTGTCGGGCGGAGGGAGGAGGCCCCATCAACCAAACAAACTCCATGTGATTCCAGCTCTTCCTTTTTGTTCTCCTCCCTCACATATCAAAGAGTACACAAAAGGACCTATGTTTCAGCATAATTACCAGAGTGGCATTGTGGGATGTGATGTTTCAATCTTGTTTGGTTTGAGGGAAAATATAACAAAACCCGGATAGGATACTGAACTAAACCCGTTTAAGTTGTATCGGCCCAATTAGTTGATGAACCTTGTATTGGACATTCCAAAATTTTTATCAAAGTAAAATACTCTTTAAAAAAAGAGTATTCGGACCACAAGTCTAAAGGACTTGTTTGATTTGTGTTTGTAGAGTAATTTTTTAGATAAAAAGTATGAAAACTTGTTTGGTTTGTCTTTTTCAGAAATGATTTTGAAAAATTATTTTGGGGAGAGAGTTTTAAAAAAAACGATTGATTTGATATGTATGAGAGAGAGAGAGAGATTTTGGAAAGAAGCAAACCAAACAAAATTTTGAGATTTTTTTTGAAAAAATTTGTTTGGTTTGATTAATCTTGAAAATTTGTTTGTAGAAAATTTTTCTCAAATTTTTTTCCCAAAAACAAACCAAACAAGATTTTTGGAGTAATAGTCTTAAATTCTATTTTTTTGGAGTCCAAAAATAATAATAATTTAATAAATTATAGTATCACAACAGATTTGTGTCATTCCATTAACTCAAATTGGGACATAACTTCAACAGCACCAAGAGGGGATACCTTGTAATAATCCACAATTACAATGGCACAATACCTCTAGAGCAAATTTCTTATAATACTTCCTAGAGTACTACCAAAACGATGTCTTTTTGGATAAATATTAATAAACAAAACACGCAAAAAAATAGAATGAAAGAGGAGCCCCATTCCCATTTCCAATCTCAGAGCCCTATCACACCTATAACTCATCTCCGTTTACTTAAGCCCATCATTGCTAGTCCCTTTCTTCTTTAGCCATCGTGACTGTCACCCCTAACCTCCTTTATTTCCCTCTTCACTCCACTCCACCCCACCCTACCAACCCCAACCCCTATTGACCTACCATTGCTAGTCCTCTCATTTCCTCAGCTTCTCATTTCTAGCAAACTCTAATTTGCTACCGCTCTATCTAGATCCCAAAAACTCTAGAGAGATAGAGAGAGACTTATATGTTGGATTTATCGGGGTACAATCTAGTCATCATCATCATCGAGGCGTGATTTGGTCGCACACACCTCTATCTATTCTCCTGCTACCATCGGTAATTGCCACAATGAGAAAAAGAATCAAGGTTTTGATGAAAGAGAGAGGGGGAGTTCGTCGGTCACGATTCTATGGTCATGGATGATGGCAATAGCGATTGCAGTCGTGCATGTGGGAATCCTTTTGCAGATGGTGGTGGCAAACTAAAGGGCAAACGGCATATATGGCGACTGCGATGGCTTGGCTCTATCTCTCTCTCTCTACGTACATTTTCCTTTTACGTTGTTTTTTTTTTCCAGTGTTTTGCTCCAAATTTTTGTCAATTGTCTGATCATGTACTCTAGGAGATCACCGTAGAGAAAACTACTTTAGAGGATCCAAACTCATTACAATAATCTTGCAATGATAGTTTAAGAACTCAAAACACAATTATTAAGCAGTTTAATTTTTCAAAAAATGTGTTTTAAACTCGTAATCCAATATTACAAGATTATTATAAGGATGAATTATTACAGAAAATCCTTATTCACAATTTGAGCCCCATATATAGGGGTGTAAATCTGGCCTGTCTCGACTGTGGGCTCCCGCTATAATTCGGGCTAAGCTAGCCCACGAGACAAAAAAATTAGGTCTAGACCCAAGCCCAGGGGTATTCGGGTCTTGGACCGAACCGGTGGGCCTGGGCCTTGCCTTGGGCTTGGAAGGGCCTGACCATTTTTTTTTTGTTTTCTTAAATTTTTTCTACCAAAATTTTATTATTTTTTACTAAAAAAGACACTAGGCCTCGGTCGGGCCAATGGATCGGGCCAATGGTTCGAGCCAAACAGGCTGGACTGGGCTTCAAATGATGGCCCAAGCCCAAGAGCTCGGACCGGGCCCAGGCCTAAACAGGCCAAGCCCATCCCAAATCGCGGGCTTCGAACGACCCACAAGCGGACTATTTTTATACACCTAACCATACATCAAAGATTAACAAACAATTGAGTACTACTTGACCTATAAGGCCAATAGTTGGTCAACAAAACACAATTGACCAAGCTATGTGTAAAGGACATATTGTTGGAGTTGGTCATCTTTAATTAGTCAACCCTATATTTATGCTTTGGTTTGGTTCTTTTCTTGTGTATCAAAACAAACGGCTTGTTATATTAATACAATTTGTAAGTTTCAGTTGAATTTCTAGTCGTTACATTATATTAGCCGAGTATGGTTCCTTTTTTTTTCTTAAATTTAGTTATTTCAAGATATAATTCAATAGATGTGAATACGGTAAGCAGTGATATAAGAGATTAAGAACTCAAACACATAAAAATATTGAAAAAAATAGTATATTATTTATGTTATAAAGTCCCTACTTAAATTGAATCTGAATCACATATTAATTTTCTAAATATTTCATTATGTTTTAGTCATTTGGTCTCTAACATTATTGTCTCGCGGCGTATTAAAGCCCTCTAGGCTGCGGTTAGTTTTTCTTCAATGACTTAATTAGTTCGGAGACACCACACCATAGTGATTCATGGAGTTTTTATAGCATTTATGCATTTGTTGTTGTTTTTTAGAAAGTCTGGATGCGGAGAAAGTATTCAAAAAATAATTCAAATATTTAGATCTATGATGTATATTAAACTTCTTGTTGATGTGAGATCACAACTTATATCTATCTATATATATATATTTTTATATATATAAAGTGAACAACTCACTTGATGTTTTAAAACTTCTTCTCTCCTTTTGTCAAGTGGATTTTTATTTTTTTCTATCGAAAACAAAATATATAAAGCAAACAATTCACTTGGTGTCTTGAAGGTAAGGTAAACAAGACTTGAACTTAAGACCATTAATTTGGTAAATAACAACTTGAGTGACACACACTATATGTTTTTAATTCAATCAAAATTTATATTTTACAAATTTAATAGCATAGTCATCCGTTAAGTACACATTCACTAGTATTATTATAAAGTGAATACCTTTGGTGGTGTCATGAGGCTTTTCCCCTACATACTCCCAAGTGTCCATTTTTTTATTTAGAACAAAAAAAAAAAATTAGAATAAATTACAAATACATCTCTTAGGTTTGCTTAAAATACGAATTGTCCATTCTGATTTGGAAAATTACAAATATCCTATTGTTATAATTTTTTATTTAACGTAATTATTGAAAATTAAAATTCCTAATTGTTCTCCTATATAATGATAAAATTACTTATATTATTAATTAAAATAAATTTATGATATCATTAAAAATTGTTAATTGATTCTATAATTTATTAATAAAATGAGTCATTTATTACGAAATTAGAAATTTCAAAGCAAGGGATGTAATTTTTAGAAATTTTAGAGGGTATATTTATAATTTATCCAAAAAATTAAATAGATGTAAGGACTGGAACTCAAACCTTGGATTTCATCTTAGGTCTAATAAAGAATGTTCTTACCACTTGAGCAACACACAATATATAATAAATATTTTATTTTATTTTTATTTATTTAAATTACATATACATATCACGTATGCCAACCACCACTAGTTCATTATAAATTGCACAAATTCTGTATTTTTATTTCTGGGAGTCTATAAGTGTTCTTTTTTGTTGGACTATCTTTTCTTTCCATTCCATGCAACTTTTTCACTTCTACGTCCCACTGTCTTTTGATTGGGTTGGGCTATAGCCAAACTCATAACCAAATTCACCGTATTTATTTCTAAATTTTTGAACTTATATTTAAAAGAAAAAAACACACACACATGTTTCTTGGAATTGAGCTAACTCAATCCAAAAAAAAACCTCAAGTTGCTTCAAATTATAACCACAATTCTATTTTAATTTATAAATAATCATTATAAAATATTAGAAAAATAGATTGTAGAAAGATTTTATATCACGGGATTAGATAAAGCGAAATTCAACAAAATAAATCATCACAATCAATTAACTCACTACAATAAAAATAATTTTTGCAAAGCTTTTTTTTCCCGATAAGTCAATTTTTTGTGACACCTAAGATGATATTTTTGTGATGAATTTAACAATTTGTTGCTAAATTTTACAAAGTAGCAACCATTAGCAACCATGTTACAATTTTGTCGCTAGTCTCATCATAAAAAAGAATTAGCACTAAAATTTTGGTGAAGTGTGTTGATTTTGCAAAAGATTTATTTTATTAAAATGAATATTTATGAAGTTTGTTTTTGGCAATCAGTATGAGATTATTACAAATATGAGAATTACATCAAATTGGATAATTAACTATATAGGGTGGTTTGAGATGATCAAAATAAGTGCGCTTTTTAATTTTTTATAAAAAGATATATAAAAAACTAAAGAGGTGATGTGACTCAAAAAAGATAAAAAGATAAAAAATGTATACTTATTAGATTACCCAAATCACAATATTGAAACCAGACCCATAATGAAAAAGAAATAATCAATTAAGAAAGAGTCTTTTAATTAATAGGCAAAAAATAATCATTCTTGCATTTCTGATAAGGACTTATCCCCCAATTTCTCAGCTGGAAGCATCTAGGAATAGACAACTAAGTTAGTCCAATTAATTGAATATTTATAAAGAAGTTGAATAGGAGTTTTAATGAATAAAATCCAAGTAAGGAATTGTCTCGATCCAAAGCCGCCCTATAGATTTAGCATCATAACCGGCTAATAATTCTAGAATTACAGAAGACTTCAGAGACAGATTAACATAATAAAGGAGCTAACGGAAGCAAATAACAAAAATACAGCATTTATTGAGCTGTGTAAATTTATATGAGACAGAAAATTTTAAATTTTATATATATATATAAATATATCACATCATCATATGTAC